ATAAGTCACTCAATGTTAGTTCAGTGTCATCAAGCCCCATAACTCACTCAAAGTTAGTTCAGTGTCATCAAGCCCCATAACTCACTCAATGTTAGTTCAGTGTCATCAAGCCCCCGTCACTCACTCAATGTTAGTTCAGTGTCATCAAGCCCCATAAGTCACTCAATGTTTGTTCAGTGTCATCAAGCCCCATAACTCACTCAATGTTAGTTCAGTGTTATCAAGCCCCATAAGTCACTCAATGTTAGTTCAGTGTCATCAAGCCCCATAAGTCACTCAATGTTAGTTTAGTGTCATCAAGCCCCATAACTCACTCAATGTTACTTCAGTGTCAACAAGCCCCATAACTCACTCAATGTTAGTTCAGTGTCATCAAGCCCCATAACTCACTCAATGTTAGTTCAGTGTCATCAAGCCCTATAACTCACTCAATGTTAGTTCAGTGTCATCAAGCCCCATAACTCACTCAATGTTAGTTCAGTGTCATCAAGCATCATAACTCACTCAATGTTAGTTCAGTGTCATCAAGCCCCATAACTCACTCAATGTTAGTTCAGTGTCATCAAGCATCATAACTCACTCAATGTTAGTTCAGTGTCATCAAGCCCCATAACTCACTCAATGTTAGTTCAGTGTCATCAAGCCCCATAACTCACTCAATGTTAGTTCAGTGTCTTCAAGCCCCATAACTCACTCAATGTTACTTCAGTGTCAACAAGCCCCATAACTCACTCAATGTTAGTTCAGTCATAAAGCCCCATAACTCAATGACAGGAATTGTGTGCACATTCCATTTTTCAGAGCAACAACAAATCAGAGCCCTTGAGTCAATTAGTCACACATCTGAATTCAAATCAACTGGTATTCATACGTTATGATCGACTCACCAAAACCCTCCGCCTGAAAAATCTTATGTAAAGTTCAGTTCTGGCATTTGCTAACGTTACTTCAGCCAACATAACATCTAGTTCCCTAGGATCCAACCTGGTATTAAATTAAACACACATTATTATTATTTTTAGATTTAATAATTTGAAAGAATTTGCAAAATCAAAATTTTAAGCAAGAACTAACATAATCACTGTTTAAAGGATAACAAAGAAATATTCACGGCTACAGAAATTGGTGCTTTTCCTAGGCAGGCAAAATTCATAAAAAAATGCATCTGTCATGAAACTAAATCGGTATAGATACAGCTGACATGACAGACAAGATCAAAAGTCAGAGTTACTGCCATTTACTGTTAAATTATTATAACAGGAAATCCTGTTGGTGGAACTGTCTATATACATATGATGTCTGTAATGAGTAAATACATTAAAGCGGGGGCGTCAGATGGCCATATAGTATCATTGTTTACAAACAAGCATCTACGCATGAGCCTCTGCGTTTTTATCGTGTGTTGCTATCGTCGATTGGGACTCAATTCCCGCCTGTGCGCAGGTGACGACCCTCCCGCTTTAAGTATACTGGTGACTGAAAATCAAAGAATCGAAAAAACAACAACGCACCTGTCTGCTTGATTAACATTAGTTTTGTACGATGACATCATGTTTTGTTGAACTTGCTGAGCCTTCTTGTCAAATTCTCTATTTTTTATAAAAGAGTCTATAATCTTCTTAACTTGAATGTCGCATTCTTTTTGTAATGAGCGCATCATGGACAACATCCGACCAGGACCTGAAATTATTAAATATTCATAATTAATATTTCCTTTTACAAATCTTATTATTAAAAATCCTAAAATACTGCATTTGCTTTATTAGAAGTGCAATTCCAATATAGGTGCATATAAATCATTTGCATTTACTATACTCATCCCGACTTAGCACCCATGCTTGACTAAGCGTTCACATCCCACTTTTTCTATTTAGGGGGGTCACATTCGACAAAGCATTCATCCCTTAAAAAATGCATCAAATTTGACTGTCTACTCATAAAATCTGGTCTTTGAGCATTGTTTGATTTCTCTGAATACCGCTTATCGAATTTATATAATACAGTCATAAATAGCAAGCGAATGCACGTAAACCACGTCAACTATGCATAAACTGCACTTCGACAATGACCTGTTAACAACTGTGAAAGGCGGTAAATACTTCATTATATACCTTTCAAAAATTGCTAATTACCTTAATTTTTTTTAAATCATGCCGTTTTTTGGTTGAAACTAATTCCAACAGTTCGTACTTCAATAATTCACTTCTGCATTTCGTTATCAGTAATGTAATCTACAACACAGCATTACCATATGGCAAGAGAGTAAAATCTTTGAAAATGAGTGAAGAAAAAATGGAATAGTGGAAGTGAATTTGTACTCACCGTAATACGTTTCTATAAGTGGTTGGTGAATTTCCACCACTCGGGCAATACCTTCAAACAACAGTGTGATAGTGTCAGCGTAAATAACATTGGCTCTCCTCTCATTTGATTCAGTCCCCAAAGCAATCTCTAAATTTTGTCTTGACGTATTGGCAATCTGTAAAGAAGCAAGTCAAATGACCATTCAGAAAATGTAAAATGTTGGTGAAACATTTTCATGATTTTTTTATAATTTGTAAGTTAATTTGCGAATAATTTTACATAATTTTTCAATCAAAGATCATTAAAAACAAAATGATGTGGGTGTATTTAATGATTAGTGTTATAAGTCTAACCTTCAAATGGCTGGGAATTGGGATATGAAACTATGAAATGAAACAGATATATCTAAGACTGTCTAAATAAAAATTGTGCAAAAGCAGAATTTATGGTATAGTACACAACTTACCTGAGTGCATAAATACATAGAGAATTTTTTGAGACCTTCATCGTGTAAACCCAATAATGGGAAAATTTTGAAGAACCTTTCCACGGATGCTAAATCACGTGTTTTAACAGCATCGTCAAATTTAACATTGACAATTGCTTTCAGCTGTTGTTCAGCTTCATGGAGAAGCTGGAGGGAAGCATCAAGACCACTATCTAGGAAGCAAACACATAGAGAAACATTTGATAAAATGGCTGTAAGGATCAGAAATTAACCTGATGTATGGCATGGCCACATATGAAAGATTGAAAACTAGTTGGTTGTTTGACTGGCTGGTGTTAAAGAATATTCCACTGATGTTGGGGGTGCTCAGGTAAAACCTGAGGGATGAGTTACCTTCTTTAGAGTCTGGTGTGACTTGTTTGAGTACGTTTTCATCTAATGTTAGATATCGGTGTACATGTGCTGCAGCTTGCTCATAGTCTTCATTCTGCAAAGCTGTTTGCACACCATCAGTACAAAACTGAAATAAAGAAATATTTATTCTCAATAACATATATTGTTAACTATTTAAGTGGACTCCTTAAGTTGGGATTGACTCCCTAGGTTACTAATTCAGAGGATTGACTCCCTAGATAAGCAAGTGAGAGGATAGACCCCCTTAGGTTACTAATTCAGGGGATTGACTCCCTAGATAATCAAGTGAGGGGACAGACCCCTAGGTTACTAAGTAAGGGGATTGACCCCCCCTAGGTATCCAATTCAATGGCAATGGTCAGCACTAGTTGGTGAATAATATTTATTTTATTGCATTTCAAAAAACAAACAAGAAAGCGACCAGCGACGGCGGATCCCCCTGCATTTTTATTACAAGCGCTGGTTGAATGTCTAATCTGCAATAGTGCTCCAAGTATTATAGTTGCAAATTCTTAATGAGGTCACATGGCCATATATGGTCATTAAATATGTTAATCAAATCAAGTGTGCAATGTCTTCAATATAACACACTAATGTCTGTATCTGCAATAGTGCTTCTGATACAAATCTGTACAGACTGGCACTGGTAACCACTTGCAGGGAAAAAGAAAAACAATATATTACCTTCAAGTCCAGTACGTCATTCACTCGGCGTATTGCTTCTTGTACTCGGCTCTGAGGAGAAAAATTAAGAAAAAAGATTGTGACATAAACTACAGGTGAGATTTTGCATTACATGACCAAATACAAAAATTATACGCAATGAAATGAACATTCATCATCAGTGACAGTGTGCACTCTAGAAGAATAAATTTTGTAAGGATTTTCAACCGATATGGAAACCACTAAAATCAGTGAGGAAGAGCTAGTTGTTGCCTTTATATTGATAGAATACATATACCGATACATTGACCTTCTATTTACAAACTCACAAAATCAAAAACAGGTTGTGTATTTCACGATTTTTATTTATATACGACTTACATAACATGCGGTTTCACCAACATTACTAGTATCCATTATCCCTCCCCCAAAACAACAGCTTAAAATTGAAGTATAACAAAAATAGAAATTATCACTGAAAGTGCCAGGAAGTGTGACCTTCAGTGGTCATGAATAGAGCCTACTCATTGGCTGAAACGTTTACATTGTTGGTTAATTAAATACCTACCTTGGCAAGATCGAGCTGTCTGACTTTACTACTGACATTCTCTGCTAGATTACAAGTGAAGGATATCATACTATCCAACTGTTTGGCATCTGTGTGAACCAGCTGAAGGTTTGGTCTGTCATAACGCAAAAATGTAAGATACAGAAATATTAACTGAAGTTCATAATAATAAATTTATTATCTCACTGACATAAAATATTTTGCTACAATTTCAGGGGCAGTGAATCTATCCAGGTGACATGAGTACTCCACCACACAATGTTCTACGTATTAGAATTAACAGAGAATTGTTGTACCAATATGCTAGGGATATTTAGACAAAGATATTTAAAATAAGCAATATGGAAATCGTGATTTCAAGATTTAAGGTTACTGGCAATACATGTGCGTTCATTGGAACAGAGCGGCAGCCTAAGGGGCAAATACTACATTGTTTTGTGTGGCAATTACCGGTTTGTCTTACCACTTTGCACTAAGGAAGAAGCATTATGAACCAGACATAGACTGAATGTGCTCCCAAGGCATAATTAATTGCTAACTATGTAAATTAATATATTGTGAAACAGTTAATTATGGCATGCTCATTAACTCGAACCTGCTCATTATTTTGAAGCTATTATCAGACACACAAACAGCAACCATGTATCAAGTTTCAATGCATTTGTGTAAAAAGATGCAAAGATACAATAACAAGCAGCCTGTCTGCTGAAATAGCTCCGCTGTTAGCAATGCACATTTCAATTGAAGAACAGAAGATATCATTAAAAAATGAACAATATGTATAGTATCAAAGCAATCAGACTTGCAGTTTTTAACAAGAAGTGGAAAATATCACTTTTTACCAAAAATTACAAAAATATTCACTAAAATTAGAGAATTGAAGATAACATCATTAAATGAACAAATCTAAGTTAGAACCACATGTAGTACCTATATATGTATTATCAAAGCAATTGGACTTGAGGTTTTTAACAAGAAGTCAAAATTATCACTTATTACCAAAAATGACAAAAATATTCACCAAAATTAGAGAATTAAAGATATCATTACAAAATGAACAAATCTAAGAGAGGTCTCCCCAAGGTACATATACACCAAGTATCAAAGCATTCAGGCTTGTAGTTTTCAAGAAGTCTGAAAAGTAAAACATTGACACGGACGACGACGGACAATCACTCATATGATAAGCTCTGCTCGACAAAGTCGACAGCAGAGCTAAAAATTAGATGTAATAAACATACACAGCTATATTACAATTGTTCTTTTAGATTCATATAGCAAATTTAACTATGGTACTCTAAAATACACTTATGCAATATTTCTTGCTGACATAGTTTTAAATGACGACCATTTTTTCAGAATAATTTATGCTTGCCAAGAATGACATAATCTGTTGTAGTCTAAATGTTGTAAACTAAATGAAATTCGCCATGGGCAACTGGCAAAGGATTAGTGGAAGCCAAGTAGAGGTATTACAGAACACGACTAATACCTTTTTACTTATACAGCCCATACAATGGTATTAGCATACACCACATGGTGTTATGTTTTGATTAG